GAATAATTATATATAAAAAATAAATCCAAAATTACTTATGATGGGTATTTGGCAATACTTAAAACATCTGTATGGTCAGCTACAAATTCAATTAATTAAAATAATATGAAAAGAATTTTTGTTCTCGTAGTTCAACAATTTTTCGAATAAATAATAGTGTAAGACTTAGCAGTCTCAAATCATACTGCTTTCTATACAAATTTCTTTAATGATTCCAAAAATATGAATGCATGAAGCTTTCTAGAAGAACTTTGGTAAGTCAAATTCAATAAAATAAAAGTTAAAATTCAAATAATATAAATTCCTGATTCGTTTAGCATTTGCGATGACAAATAATAAATTAAAAACGAAAATACTAAACGCATTTAAACTTGATGTAAAAATCCATATTTTTTTCACTGCGTAGACTTGTGATGTTACTTCTCTAAAACCCTGAAGTTTCAATTCGCCAAACATTGGAATAACAATTCCTTGCAGTCGTACAAATATTAAGCGTAAGAGTAAATGTCAGTGCCGTCTAAGTTGCGAACATATCTTTTCCATTCCATTGGTCACTTACAAAGTCAAGGAGGTTGACATCGAAATTGAACTTACATTCGAATTTCAGCAAAAGGCGCAGATCATGGCTTCTGTACTGAACTCTAAGTTTAGTTTTCATCATATAATACCTATATGGCTCAGTGCCATATTAAAAGTTAAAACTTGGCAAACATTACCTACATTGCAAGCATTTTACGATATCTTGTCAGCACTCTACGATATCTTGTCATCATTTTAGCCAAGTTTTTGGAATACTCAAATACTTTGTAGATACCTCGATAAATGAATCAAGGTCTGAATCATCTGTGAACAGTACATTTACTAATTCTATGCATATATAGTTTAATATGTATATGGGAATAAATCTTTTTTACCAACTGCTATTTAAATGTGCTCATCCAGAGGCGTTTTTAGGACTTCACAAAGAAGGTGGAAAAGAAGTGTATACTACTGCACACTTCTTAAAAAATAGGTGTGTACTGAATGCATGTCTTAATAATAATCTTCTCCATTATAAAAATGTATATCTCTGATATAAAAACATAAAAATCTTCGCTATTATACTACTATTCCCTAATTGGTTTTTTTTCGAAACAGTTCTTAAAGGGGCAATAAATTTCAATTAATTCTTAAGTGTCTCTGTTTATATAAACTTATGTTTTCTACTTACTACGCCTCTGTGCATTCCATATTAAAAAATATATTTCATATAAAAATTTATGCCATAAGTAAAACTCACCCATGTGCAAAAATTTCAGATACGGTTCGCATTCAGCGAAGTTCATGTCCTTGTATCAGTATTTTATATTAATATATATAGCTTATGATGCAGGACAGTTATGTTCACATAAAACTAAAGATTTTAATGAATATACTTTAAAATAATTAAATTCAATTAATATAAACGATTAAATGATGTAGGCTATAATTTAATATGAACACCAAAGCCAGCGATGATAATAATGAATATAAATATATTGCTGTTGGAATAATTTTTACTTTAATAAACACTTTTTATTAAATTCGTAAATAAATTAAATAAATCTAAATTATTTGCTAAACAATCCATCACTGAATACTAAAGAAATCTCTATTCTCGACCGGAAAATTATCGTGCCATTTAAATAATATCTCAAAACTATCTTTTGTTTTTATACTAGTAATTTCGGACAGACCTTTCGAAAAAGCATAAAATAGATATACGCCGTCTGCCGAATGACAGGCAGTATTAGAACAGATTTTTGACATTTTTCCCTCCTCCTCAGCTTTGATAGTAGCCATTATTGAAAGGAGCTATTAACCAGTTGGCCAAAAGTTATTTAGTAGTAGGAATACTTTCAAAGCCCAACTGGAAAATAAAGGCAGGTCTGCATGAAGAACTTGACATTTTGAAGATGATATTTTCATAACTCGATTTAACTTATTAATTATTGATTAACAAATTAAAAATTATGTTTAATATGTTGTAACTAAAATGAAAACTATATGGATGTGTAGCGTTTAGCAAAGCTTCAAACTGTACTATTTGCCAGCTAAAAATTGCACAAAGCCAGACTCTGAGAAGACTTTTCAAAGTACCATGGTACATTAGGACAAATGACATCCTCAGGAACCTCAAGATTGATCCGATCAAAAAATACATAAAGAATAGAGCACTGAAATTATTTACGAAAACTGACAGACTTACCAACACCGCGTTATTGAATCTCAGAATGGTTACAGGCTCCTCCGGGAGGTATGCAAATCTGAGGTCAATTATTGCTTAGTCTGGTAAGTGACAAACAATAATCCAGCAAGGCGTAAAGAGGGGTTTTGAAGATATTTCGAGGCTCAAATAGCTTCAACATATTAATAAAATAAATACAAAACAGAAGAGAATTGTTTCATTAAATATGGTGAAGTGTATTAAAGCTTTTGAAAAATAATACAGTTTTAATTATTAATAAATTAACAGTTTTTAAAGAAAACATTTTTTTAATAAAAATCTGTATGAAATCTGTATTATGATTTTTTTAAATCATAAATCTGTATGACTTCTTTTGGCACAAATAATTATGAGATATTTATTTGTCTTCTACAATTACCGAAGCAATAAAGAAAAATTCCTTGTATAACTTACAAATCGCCAATTATATTTTTATGAAACTATAATAAATTTAAAAAAGAATTTCAATTATCTCAAAAACAGTCTCTAGCAGAAAAACTACGAATGCTGCATTTAACAGGAATTACATAATTCTTCATATCCTTAATAGAATCCTTAAGCAACCCGCAACAACAATCAGGTCCAGTGGTAGGACACAGTTTCAATATTTAAATGAGGAGCAATGATAAGAAATAGAGCAGATATTTCTTACAAATGGGTTTGTATCTAAATTGTTTTTATTGTTTTTTTTTATTGTTGTTAACTATGTTACCATAAATTTATTGGTTTGAGTTGATATTCTGACGACGACTGTCTGCCACAGCAAATCGGTATACATTTCTTTTGTGTGCTGTTAGAGAAGTCAGAGAAGTTGTAAGCATATTTGCGATTAATAGCAGTCACTGAGGAAGCAGATGAAGTGGAATGCTTTGAACTTTACAACTGTATTTTGCTATGAAAAGTTTATAAATATACTGCGAACTACACAGCACAGACATTGTGGAACCTGCCTTTCCCCATTTCAAATAAAAACCAACAGAAATTGAACTAAGTCGGCGAAACAAACAATATTTCTCACATAAAAAAGTATTCAATTACTAATAAGTAAAAATACTTTTAGTTTGAAAAAATTCATAGCATTTATTTTATAATATTTTATAATATAATTTTCTCTGATGTCACTGATAAGTAATATGACAAACACAAGTGAAGTAATGCTATATACACATATTTAGAAATATTTAACATATATAAGCTTAGTGAACTTTATGTAGTAAGACTAATTCAAGAAAAATTAATTAAAATAATTATAATATGTTAATGTTATAAAGTAATTTTTGTCATTTCTTTTTAACCAACCTAGCGTAGATATTTCACACCCAACTCATTCTCCATAAGTTTTTCTACAGTCTGGGGAAAATATATGAATGGCAACTGAAGTAAATATTTGAAGTACTAATTTAACAAAACCAAAATAAATGAACTGAATCAAGAGTGCTACTAAATATACTAATTAATTAAGCTACTTCGTAAGACCACTAAAGAATCCCTGACACACTTCACCACTTTGACCAAAAATATCATTGAAATTAACTTGGAACAACATATAGACGACAATATATAGCTGTCGATAATAACGACGAAATGCAGCAATCTTACTGCAACTTACAATTTTCCATAATTGGTTTGGCTTGGTTCGGTGTGGTTCGGTGTGGTTCTTAAATGGCAATGTGCTGCAGTGGTTATGACTTGCAATTTGTTTAGTGAAATATTGGGTTACATTGTGTCATGAGTGGTCAGACGAGCTAATCTCCTTCGGCGCCAATAAACTGAAAAGTCAATTGACCTTTGATATATGATGAAAGATATTGAAATTGAGTTTCAGTAACTTAACTTCATTTGATATGTGCTAAAGTGGAATAAAGTGGGATGAAGCGATTAAATCTTTTTAAACTACAGTAATGGATTATAGATTGTGATTTAATGTGTATAATGGGTGTACAAATGTATTTCGAATTAGTAAGTGATGAGATGAATTTATTTCAATAAAGTGAAAATAACTTTATCACACCGATGAAATAATCTCAAAATAACTAAACAAAAGAATTGCCATAGGTGTACCACAAATGATGCTATCAGGTACGTTACTATGTATATATACGGATAAGAATATAGTGTTTACAATGATTATTAGCAGACAATGTGTATTTTGGATATATTTTTGAAATCTGAATGAACTGTTTAGTTCATTAAAGCTTATAAAATTAGAGCAAACTCATCACATATGGCTCAAATGCTGAAGTTGTAAAAACTCTAAAAGAATTAGAGCTAATGAGAGTTGTTACAAAGTAAACGAAGTAGATTTATATACTATGAGAATTAGTGTAATTTTTGAGTTTAAGTATATAATTAGAAATTATTGTATATGAGTATTAATCTGAAAATATAGTGCAATATATTGTTGCGTTTAACTTAAAGAAATTTTTGTTGATCATTGAAATAAGTAAATGTGAACAAGTAAAATTTTTTCTCAAATTTTGAACTACAGTTAAAAGAATACACCTGAAGAGTACAACCAAAGTTTATAAACAACCACCCATACATACCGACTAAGATGACATGAAGATGTTTAAATAGATTTAAAGAAGATGTGTATTAGAAGCAGAACACTTTTTTTCGAATGAAGGATCCGTTCAATCACTTTTTTATAGAATATTATCTTTGAAATGTTCACATAGTTTGTATTTGAATTTTTATTTTTTTTTCAATTACTTGCTACAATATAATTTATACAACGAAAATAATTGAAAACAACTAAATATTTAATTATGATTAATTATATTTTCCTCTATAAAACTTATAACCTAATTATTTACAAATTTTAATGAAGCCACGCACCAGGACCGCCTGCACCACCAGCACCACCGCCAATACCACCACTAGCACCAGCCAAGCCATGAATGCCATTGAGACCACCAGCACCACCACCACCGCCACCGCCGCCACCACCAGCTCCAGATAAACCACCCCACACACCCAAACCAGCAGCTCCAGCGCCACCACCACCACCGCCGCCACCACCAGCTCCAGATAATCCTCCCCAATGACCCAAACCAGCAGCTCCAGCGCCACCACCGCCGCCGCCTCCGCCTCCAGCAGCTCCACCTAATCCATGACCCCAAGCTCCCCACGCAGTGCCACCACTACCGCCACCGCCTCCACCACCTCCTAAGGCTCCGCCAGCTCCACCTCCGCCACCGCCACCACCAGCTCCAGTAACACCTGGCAATAGCACAGAAGTTGCAATGAGACTACCATCAGTTCGAACACAATAAAGTGTGCCAATAACCATAAACAGAAGTGCCTACAAATAGAAAATATCTTGAGTATTTATTCTTTCTAAAAAAAATTCATTTTGATTTTGCTACCGTTGAGGTTCTCATTTTGAAAATCCTCATCAGTTAAACTGTAACAAAGCTTTATGAAGTGTTTGTTCCACAAGTGCAGAAAATCAAACTGATTTCTATGTACTGTTTGCCCGTATTTATATAAACCGAGGTGATTGGACCAATTGCAAGAACTAATTTATTTGCATAATAATTACAAATTATATATTTATTTATGCAAGTTCAAACAACAATAAAGTTATTAAATTGATTTATATTTTAATTTTTTTTTAATTCTTCTTAGCACACAAACAGTTCTCACTTTTAAGATCAGATTACGCAAAATTTTCTCTTCTCTGAATTTGCGGGAAAAACCAAAATGTAGAATTACTTATTGCTGGTCACACCCCTAATACTGCTAATCCTAATAGAATACTTAAGCATGTTATTCGGTCGTCTTGATTAAATTTTTAAAATAAACTGACTAAAATCTATATTAAAACAATAATTTTATAATATAAACATCACAATTTTTAAATAGCTTATACTGTTAATGCCCAACATTCAAGCTAAATAGTACCTATCATCTCCAGCATTTTTAGGCAGTGATGAGTTTCGTAAATAACACGGACAAGAACACTTTTACAAATTGAAACAAACTATCAAGTAATTAATTTCGAATCAGTTAATGAGAGATTACGAAGTCCTTTTTAAATACTCCTCATTAAATAATTATAATTCAGGTAATTATTCAGTCCATACTTCTAAAGGTGTCATAGAAAAAGTAGTTCAGAACCCAACAAAAAAAAAAATTTTATAAAAACACCAAAAATTATATAAAAAAAGAAAATGATCGGTTATGGGAAGTTCTCTTTTATAGATCGCAGTAGATATCTGTCCAAAAATAATTTTTTTCTGAAAAATATAAATATATATATAAAATTTATAAAATAAAATGTTGCAAGCTAATAATGTTAAAAATATGGCTTTTTTAAATATCTCAGAAATTATATATTTCATGATCATGACGTCAAAAAAATATAGTAAATAAATAATTAAGTCGTATGAAATATAACTCTATTAAAGTAATTATAGATGAAGATCAATCTCTCTGACTATTATTAAGTATAATTTTTTTATTCTTTGAATTATATTAACATATTTCTTGAAACTTAAAAAATATTTGTTTATGTTGTATATATAATACCATATAATATTTATATACTAGACTATGTTTGTATACGTATTTCTTGTATTTACATATGTCGATGTACTGCTTACTATGTATATGTTAAAAGTAAGAAATTTATTATGCAAACTATTGACCGTCTACTTAAACTAAATACATTCAACACTAGTTTCATTTACAATGTCTACACTGAGGCTTAACAAAAAGATAATTATTCATTGAAATAAGACCGCATATGGTTCACGAAGCGTTCCTAAACGCATATATAAATTAACTAAATTTGTGTTTTATTGTAAACATGCCACACTTGCCTTGTAAGTCCGCCGGAACAAAGTACTCAAAAATCTCCTGATTAATAAATCACTCATACTGACCAGGCATTAATTATAGGAAACTGAAATGGCTTTCACTAAATCAATTAAAGCGTCATTATTGTTGTACAAGTCAACACACAAGACAGGCATTTAGGCTACTGAATGGCAATATTTGATGCCTTCCTTGCGTGTTGTTATTGCATTTGCTTGTCGGGAACGTATAAGCTGCACTACACACATTTTCATCCTTAATACGATGATAACTTAAGATACTCGTAATAACTACTCCAATGAAATTAGGAGCAGAATCTACCACAAAGCAGATAAACGGTTTTGCATGTGCGGAAGATGCTTTTTCGATTAGTAGCAGCTGCTGGCAAGCTAGCTTAAGCACTGCTAAATAATGTTTGCTATATAAGGAATTCAAATGCAATGAATATTTCATATTGGTTATATATGATAACATAAAACACAAGTAATAAAAAATAAGCAAAATTTATAATTTTTTTCAAATAATTAAAACTTACTGAGGCTTTTCTAACAAAACTTCTAACATATATATAGTATAGTCGCATATGAATGAGTATTTTCACTTTTTTTTAAATACCTCTCCGAAATAAATTGAGGAAATACTAATCATAGATCGTGAAGGTCAGAGAGCAGAATCTATTTCACTAATCAGGGGAGAATATGAAAAAAATAAAATTAAAATCTAGAAATCAGACCTCATCTAAGCCAAAAATCATTAATAAAGTAAGAAAAGTCAATGGTGTTATTGCGCCAGCGCGATTGTTAAGCTATATTATAGAGATTAAAATAAAAATGGCAAAAACAATTGCAAGCAACTATATACTGAAAGCTATTGACCCTTGAGAAATTTAAAAATTGGGTAATGCAGTCAGGTGTGGTTTAGCCGAGGGGCGTAAAATAGTTACTCCACTTACTTTAGTTAAGCATTTTATGCAAATTTTACCACAATATTTTATAAGTATGTTAAAAACTAAAAATTAAATTTAGGTTTAAAAAGTAACCTCAAATAATCTATTTTTTGCTTTACATATATGGTAATAATTTATTAAATTTGCAATTCATCTTACAATTTCTTTCTTTAAGTTGGCTGAAGTAAAGTAAGTAATGGCATTTCACTTTAACCTTTACATTGTGCCAGTAAACTAGATAATTTCTTACGAAACTTTAAGCAAACTTGCGTAACATGCTGCCTTCAAAGCTATTGTCAATTCTGTGCGCAACCATGACCACCACTTCAGAAATAGTGTGGGCCGATTAATCAAATCGAACAGCACAATTGACGGCGAACTGACGGTCTAATTAAATATGCGCAACGCCATTACTGCATATAAGCACAAATAATGCAAACTGTTAACTGCTCAGAGGAACGAGCTGTGCTCCGTCCGTCCACGCCCTTTTGCTTTCACTCCGACTTAGACATTTGTGCATGTCAAGCTGTTGACAGATGTGGCAATGCTGTTCGTACGTGTGCTCGTATAAACTCAAGTGAACTACTAAATTGCAGAGCTCAATTCAGTACCGGAAGAATGGACAACCACAGTAGACTCAACGTTACAAAATTTGGTTTAGTTGCATGGAAATGATAAAACCAGTAATTTAAAATAAATATAATAGATACGAGTATATTATTTAAATACAGTAACAACTCCTATACATTAATTCTTCAAAGATACAACGGGAATTATAATTCCCGTGAAATCTTAAATGCTTTAAGCTCTGAAATAACAAAAAATAGAGCAAATCATGTGAATTATGACCAAAAGTATGATCTTTCGAGAAGAAACAGAGGTATATACTTAACGAATCATCGCACTGTCAATTTCGAAAATTAAAAACCAAAACCTTATTTCAGAAGGTTTCGAATAGTAATCAAAAGACAACAACAAAAATTTAATTAATTTATTGAAATTTGGCTGACCATATAAAGCTGTTTCGAGTATTGCCAAGTACTCATCATCAGTAATCTTAGGAAATACTCGAATTTTTTATTTAGTTTATAGTCCATATATAATTTGTTTGGACTGCTTAAACCCCGTGCCTGTCTAATTAGAAGCGATGACTAATCATGCTTTTCAAGTAGCCAAGGCCACACAAACTTTCGATACTCAAGTTCCAAGTTTTCTTGAAACTTTTTTTTTTGTTAGTCACACTAACCAAAGCACTTATAAACTATAGCTTTATTCGGACACAAGTACAGCGAATTGAAAGTTATTTTTTATTTCAAAGCTATTCTTTTGTGGAATAGCTTATATACAGACTATAAACTAAATAAAAAATTCGAATACTTCCAAAGATCACTAATGTATCACTGATGAGTATTTGAAAATACTGAAACAGCGTTATATGATCAGCCAAATTTTAATAAACTAACTAAATGTTTGTTGTTGCTTTTGTTTACTATTTGAACCCTTTTAATTTTTTCTTGTCTTCACAATGTCATGCGTCACATTTTATAAAACAAAAAAAATAACATTAGGACTCTCAATATAAAATATAGCTCAATAGTAACGCAGAAATCCCAACAATTTGAACACTAATAAACATAACAGCACTTATTGGTAGTGAGCCTTGAAACCCGTAGAATTATACTACGAAATAGCTTAAAAGAAGCTATACAGAAGTATTTTTGTACTTATGAGAGAATGGAGAGAATGGTTATAAAATAATTCCAACAGAGTGGATTGGTCGTTAAAAACTATCTAATTTAATCATTAATAGTTTTAATAGAATTAGATTATTGAATACATTCAAAGCTAAATCTGAATACATATGGATAATGTCATTTTTAAAATATAACAACATTTTATTTATAAATCATAACAAATAACCATGAGTATTCACGTTATAAAAGAAGTATGACTAAAGGTGATCAAAAATATAGTCTTTAACTTTGATTAACTTTGACTTGCCATATAATCCACTATTGTGTAAATTATTCAAGGCTAGTGTTAACAATTGACTTGAGATGGCATTCCCTAAAATTATTCAAACATTTGCAATCATTATGGACGACGTTATCAACTCTCAATCGAATTTCACAATTTTTACTTAATTTCTCTCTTCATTACAGCATTACATTTACTAACATTTTTGGTTTGGTGAAAATTTTTTATAAATCATTTTCAAATAAACATATTCTAATAATAGTAAGAAATATTCATAATTCATACTTTTACTTGAGTCTACCGTTTTTCTTCGTGTCAACATAGTTCATATTAATTTGTCTATGGCATTCTCTATTTATAAAATATATTGATACAAGAACTCTAAATGAAGTGACAAGGTCACAATCGAAGTATGAAGCGAAACTAGAATATCTGGTTTACTAATTGCATATCTGGTGAACTACATATATGGCAATTAAATTATGCCGAGATTATAACTACAAATTGTGTTTCAATGCAATTCTTGATATTTTGTGAAATAATTTTAGCGCAGCAACAATGCATAAAATATATCTTAATTGCAGTTAAAACCATATTTTTCAACTATTTTTAATCTATGTTCTTAGGTGTCTGATAGTGTCGAGGTGATACATATAGAAACCAAAAAAGGGTTCTATTAAAAATAAAATACAATTTTTGAATAAAAGCAGTTGACTTTAAACTGAACTAATCT